CAGTTTGCTTATCTTAGTTGTGGTTACAGCTGGCATCAGGGTGTGCAAAATTGAATGACAAGGCAGAGATTCCAATGTTAGTTTGCATTTTCTCTGCAACAGATGAGTTTGTTCACTACAAGTCCCTCAAATTCATCTTTGGGTAAAAAAAGCATCACAGATGTTGCACAGAATAAGTTATACTTCTTGCTCTTTTTTTCTGAATCTGCTTAAGATTCTCTGCAAAATTTACACAATGTGTATGTGAACTTGGAAGTGGAGTCGAGGCAGCCACAAAATAATGCAAGACAACTATCGTTCACCAGTTTAAAAACAACTTTTTTGCTTCAATGATGCAAGACACCTAAAACCAACTTTTTTTTCTTCAATGATGCAAGACGACTATTGTTCACCAGTTTAAAAACAAACAACTTTTTTTTGCTTCAACATAGTATAACGTTCACAATCAGAAGCAGCCGTGTTTCACAGTTCTGTTTCCTACTCTCTTCTGTCAGGAGCAGCGGAGTTATAATAGTCCAGCCATGTCATTCGTTCTTTAATCTAAAACTGCTTGAATAAAGTTGATTTTATACAATTCTTAAACTCTAATGTACATAAATGGGAAGCTCAAATTTGTAGATTTAATTTGATGCTTTTTATCATTTGCTGAGGATGTACTGTCAGCCATTGCATGAGCCTCACAATTCAGACTAGACAGATCTAGAAAACAGCAATATAATTTTTTTTAATGTTGTTTTACTTTACCTTATCAAAAATGCACTTCTGGCTGAAATTTCCTAGCTTTCAACTGTCAACTCCCCAAAAGTAATTTTTGAAACCTGAAGCCTTTCTGTGACACAAAATGTATTCTTTGTGTTGTTCAAATAAAACCACAGAAATTATATCAAGAGATGTCAAAATTTACATTCAAGCATTATGACTAAAATGTGTTAATTCTGTTATCTTTGACTACTGTTTGTTCTCCAGGCTCCTGTAAAAAGTATTTTAAACAATGTATTTTAACCTGTAATTTTTATTCCAATTTTTCATCACAATACTTGCATCTTCTTGTCAAATTACAGAGGAAAATGATCTCTTCATCTCAACTAGTCAGATGCAGAAGAAAGCCTCTTTGTATACTCAAAGGCTTAATCCATCACTTGCCCATCATACTTTTTGTCTGAATCTATCTTTAGGTTAGTGTCAATTAAATAATTTTATCAGTCATTCCTACAACTGATGTTCTCATTCCCTCAATTTTCCTTGTCAAGAATGCTATTAGTCTTTTTCTATTCCGTAGGAATTTTAAATCTCACCGCTCAGACAGCAGAATTAGTCTGAAGCCTGCCTTTTCTAGCTTAGCTTGAAAAATGGCCATCTCTGTAACTAAATGGTTTATTTTCTTATTGAGGTGACCCTTCAGTGTACTAATTCCTCCACTAATTTATTTGTTGCTTGGAATTTGCAGTAGCTGTTAGGTCATGGCTACTTCTCACCAGAGGTTCACCATCAGACAAATGCACAATAAAGATCATCTAAAATTTACTCAGGTCAATAGAACAATAATCATTGATAACAAAAGTGGCTCTAACGTCTCAAAGTTGACACATGACAGACAGAATTACCACTGGCTGTCTCACACAACAACATGTACTCTGTTCTATAATTGTAACTGCATTTCATAATAATTAAAGGAAAACACAGGGGAGAATTCTGTTTTGAGCCAGAGTAAAAGGCTTCAAATTTTAAAGGAAATAATAATAATATGGATTAAATAAATGAGAGTATTTAAACGTTGAGCTTGGGAAAAAAAAATCGTATTTTTGTCACTGGAGATTTAATTTTAAGAACAAATGATAAATCCTAAGAATTCTACTATGTGCTTAATGGTAAAAATTTCCCTTATATACAGCTGATGAGGTAGGATGACCTATTTTATTTTTAATTAACAAACCCCATAAACTATTAAGAATGGGTACTTTGTATAATATTCAGGAAAAACACTGACTAAAAGTGGATTTTGCAGTATGTTTTGGAAGGGTCTGAGGTGGCTCCCTTCACCGTAAAGCTTACTGAGACGTAATGAATAAAGCAGGGAAAAGCGTGTCTGCTATTTCTGTGTTGAAGTTGCATAGCCAGGTTTGGTTTCAGCATCTCACCAACAAATATCAAAATCAAATATTTAAACCCACTGCATTCACAGTGTTGTCTGTCTGCACGGAAAAAAAAGTGATTTTTCCTACTTCCCAGGTAACATCAAGTGTGAACAAGTTATTTAAGACCATGTACACAAAATCCCTAATATTATATGAGCAATGGTGATGGCAATGAATTCTCGGCTTGGGAGATAAGGTACCAGAAGAATTTGTCTCCCACACGCTCCCATGCAGTGACACACCGACATTAAAGTAAATGCCTTACTGGGGGAGTGTCATCATCCAGCTAACTAGAAATGATTCTTTGCAGAAGTTTGAAGATGTCTATCTTTGAATCTAATTACTTACCAGGGGACCACTAACATGCAGTGACACCAGTAACTTGTGTTGCCTTTTTTCCTGCATTGGAAATAATTTTATATTTTTGTGATCAGTGTTTTAGCCCTGAATACAGAGATTTACCATAACTGAGAAAATGCCAGGCTTTCTGTGGCTAAATCTAATTCTGAGCAGGAAAGGCACAAATTTCTTTCCAACAGGGTATGGACACTGACAGATCTGAGAACCTAGCAGCAATGAAGTGTTCCAGTTGCCTACAAGGCTGTGAATTGCCTCCCCGATCTAAAGATTTAATGCTATTTAGGTGGTAAATGAGGACACTGAGCTGAAAATTTAAGTTTTTCCTTCTGTTCAGCAGCATCACCCCACCCTTCAATGTTTGCATCTCAGCTGCTCGTTGTTTGAAGATGAAAAAGAAGATGAAGTTTGCATTTTTCTGAAGATGACATAGAACTTCAATATGCCACTATCATTTTGAAAGTAGCTTGCTCTTCAAGAGTCCTCTTGATAGTCTTCAAGAAACCTCTTGACTATTTTTTTCCCTCACATATATAGAACTTGCTGCTTCTTTGATGGATGTAGAACAGAGAATGTGGGTTGTTTTGTTCATGTATTTTTGTTTTGCTTAGTTTTGTTTTGGTTTTAAGTATTAATAAGACAAGGGTCATTTTCTTCATCCTTCCAAAACCTTTACTATTGTTTTCTTCCAGTTTTCCCATTTTGTAATTTCTGTAAAATATAGGCAATGTTCGCTGAGTGAATCTTTTGCCCATTTTACCACCTGCAGCTCCGTGTCAAATAGAACTAAATAATAGATATGTTCTGGGTGAAGGACTGGTTTCTGTTCTGAATTACACTGATATCAACTACTAATTTCCTGTTATTATATGTCAGTGTGCTACCAGAGGTATTATTCACATAAGATATATCATTGCAACAAAACTATGACTACCAAATGTTAGATCAACTTGCATATTTTAAAAATATTTTTTGGTTCAAGCAGCACATTGATTTTAGACTAATTGTGTATAAAGAGAGAAACGAATAAAAACTTCAGAGAAAAATTCTGAAAGTTAATTACTATACACACCAATAATATTGTGAGAAGTGGTAAAAGACACTTCATCTTGATTCCTGCTTCATGAAACTTCTAGGAGAATAATGTATCTGTCCCATTAAGTTAAAATTAGCCAATAGGTTCAAATCTATCAAAGACAGGTTTCTAGCCTGCACAATCACGTAAACTTCATATCCCAAAGAAGACAGACTAAATGATAAGCTCTCTCGATGAGGGTTTAACGGAGAAAAGCACTGAGAATTCAAAATATTCTAAGAAATACCATTTGCAAGAGTTTCTGGTTCTGATAGTAGTGGATCAATACAGATTGCACACCCCACTGCCATTTCTAGTCATGCATCCCCAGACTGATGCTAGTCACAGAATCATCTGGGTTGGAAAAGCCCCTGCAGCTCCTCCAGTCCAACCATGAACCTCACCCTGACCGTTCCCAACTCCCCCAGGTCCCTCAGCGCTGGCTCAGCCCGACTCTTCAACCCCTCCAGGGATCCCGGGGACTCCCCCCCTGCCCTGGGCAGCCCATTCCAACGCCCAACAGCCCCTTCT